AAAAATTTTTTTTTTCCTTTTTCTTTTATACACTGTGGTAGTTTGCTTTTCGTTCTTCTTGACTGTTGTTAGGGTGTGTTGTTTAACGTTCAATCTTGCTATTGGATGAATTAGAAAATGCTAAAATATCCTGCGGTGCTTTCGTTTCTAATAGAATAGAATAAAAGAATCTCGTTCCTTAATAATGGTAGCTGGAGAATAGTAAACTAAAGCAGTCGCTCTTAACTTTTTTTTTTTTTTTTCATTGCAAACTTGAAAACCTACAAACGTTAGAATGTCAGCCCACGATCAGCAAATGAAAATGTATTTTATTACAATTTCGCTTCCTTTCTCTCTTATCACTTACGCGTGGTGATACTACAGGGATATTATTTTAATTTTTTTTTTTTCTTCCAACTAAAACCGACTGAAATACCCGATCATAAAGTCTAATAAATAGTCAGTCAATTATTGATCTATGTAAAATTGCGAATGAATGCAGTTATGCGCGCATGTGGCCTGTTTGACTCTGCTAGTAGCTAGAAATTAAGGAAGAGATCAAAGTGAGTTTGGAAACGTAGGGGAAAGAAAAGAATCCTTAAACGAACAATGAGTAAACATTTTATTATACAAATCGATTCAGAATTATTTTCTGAGCTTTTCTGTCTGTCTATCTGTCTGACCGCCTTGTTTTCTTGCCTTTAACCTACAGGTCGCAATTTGTGAGATATTTTTTGTTATAATTTGGTATACCGAGACTTGTTTGGGCCCAAGGACGAACGCTATAGAAAATGGTTTGAATCAGACCACCTTTTCGACCACTTCCCTCTTCTTGAAAACCCTTTATATGACTGATTGTATTAGGCGAATTGGTGTAGAGTGAGCCGTGTCTAGTGTTTTTACACAGTCACATAAAAATTATTGACTTTACGTCAATGGCCAAAAGTGAAGAATCCTTTCCAAGCAAATGTTGCTTCGGATGCTTTAAAAGAACACAATCAAAGCATTTAAAGTCCTGTTTCTTTTCAGACTACGTGTTCCAATATCAGATTATACGTTCTCATGTAATCAAGGAGAGTAATGCAATTTTTTCCCTTTTTTTTTTTAATACGATAAAGTTTCCATAGCTTAATCCTCATCCTCTCAAACAGCAAAAGTATTATTAAAAAGAAAAAAAATTTGGAACTCTCTTCACATGTAAATGTGCAGAGACATGTATATATATATATATATATATATAAATATTTATATGGGTATATGCTCCCTGTTATACCATTCGTTTCATTAATGTATTGATTGTCAGCGTAGTCGCGTACATATTTTTTGAGTTCTTTCCATTGTTTCTTTTTCTTTACTCTTTCTACGACTTCCTTTTAACTTTCTTGGAAAAATGTATGATATCGAAAAGTCATATCCTTAGGGTAAACATTGCATGCATTTCTGTAAACACACAACTTTTACACGCATATATAACGAGTTGTTAAATTACATTTGATTAATTTGGTTTACATGCAGTTGGGTATTAAGGTTCACATCAGCTGCAAACGAGAGAAGAGGGAGAGAGAGCTTCTTTATTGCTGATCGAAAAATATCACTTGAAATAAATTCGATTTGTATCTATCTATATTCGATTGTATTCCTTTTTTAAGCATGATTTTCTTTTTTGCTTATTGCCATTTGTTGCGAAGTTTTTCTGACATATGCTTACGGCTCTGTCAGGTTTACATGTTTCTACGTACTTATGGACGCATGATTTTCATTGTTTTAATGTAAGTAAGAAAAAACTTTATTGAAATTGTAAGCTTTTTGTTTGTAGCTTCTTTATTATATATATATATATATATTTTTTTTTTTTTTTCATTTATTTCCTATGGCTTTCCTTTCATACTTGAAATTTGCTCCACTAACTTCTACTTAAGTTAGGAAAACTGTTTACAGCGTACAGTCGGCAAAAAGTGATCATTAAATACCTTACAAAATTTTCCTTTCCTGGAAAGACCCATTTTTTATTAGAATCATTGTCTGGGAGTGAATAAAATAACGCTGACCGTCGTGGCTCAAATGTAGCATAATTAATTTTCTTGTGTTTTATCAAACAATTTATATGCTTTGCCTATTTTTGTCATTAAAACAAGAAGAATAATCTTTAAGCTTACTTTTCATGGGAATGCTTATACGGGTAGAAGTTTAAAATATAGACCTATGTGATCCGTATTTAACATAGCAAATACATTTTTCTATTAGATCACTTTGGTGTGTGGAAATTGTCATATTCATTTTGTTTTACATCGTCTATAAGGGAGTGACTTAAAAATCCACATCCAAATTATTATTTCTCATCAATTTTTCGGGAGGAGAAAACTTAAAAACCGTAATTGTCTCCCTGAAAAGAATCTTTTAAAATAGGGCGTTATATAGACGCCGGACGTGAAGATAGTCTGGACCAAACCCATTTTGCAAATGGCGTGCCTCTCTCCGCACCAACCAGCCAGGGCACGTAAACAGAAATCAGGCACACACACAGAGAGTTGGACATGCCTGAATCTGTTGGTATATATCTCCTGATTTGATCTATGTCTATCGTCCTATGTCTGCTGTACTTTCGTGCGCAACTTACAAAGTGATTAAAAAAAGTATGAAACCTATTGAAAATGAATTAGATCGGATCATGTCTTTATGATCATTCTTCACAGATAGGCGTATTTTTTTAAAAAACCCCTTATGAAGTTGTATAAGGTGTTCAATGTCTTGCTCGATTGTAAGGTTTTAACTTGCTTTTGAGGTCACGAAAAATAGGTTATTAGACAGAGTTAGAGATGAGGTGACATGAGATTTAGAGAAACAGGATTACATACGTGTCCTAGCGTATAACCAAAGATCGAAAATTGTTTTAACGGCAACTGGAAGATATATGAACTCAACAGTTGACAGCATAAATAATCGCAATGATATTAATTTGCCTCGGAAGAATTAATTTGTCGGAAGATAGCAGACAAGAAAAGATAAAACAGTTGCAGACTTTTTTTGTAAGCACAAATTTTTCAATTTAATATTGGATGTAAGAGTATAACGTTACCCTTTCCGAAGAGAGTGTGTAAATAGTGCTGTAGGGTACTGTGACTTCTCCATTTGCAAGTCTTATCTTTATTCTACACTCAGTTGTACACGCTATCATACTAAACCCTACAACAAATAGTTGCATGGATCTTCTATGCCGAAGAAATAACCATCGCACACCTTACTTTTCCTGCTTAATTCGGGTTATAATGCTATCTAACCTTACGAGTCATTGGCCAATGGACAATATTTTGAATAGTTTATGTGCAATCAGTATTGTGCAGTAAAGTAACGGATTCTAAAAGAGAGACGGCGGAAGGAAAGTTATTCCTACCATTTGGTTAAATTATATAGAGCTACATTTAGGTAAGCTCGTGTTTGAGTTCTTTGAATGAACATTTGCTTAAGTATTTAGTGAACCTTGCAGACCTTGCATATTTGGACGAAGGCTCTTCTAAGAAATTTTCAAAAAAAACTACAGCTTAGAGTTAAAACTCATTTCTTCAAGTTTAACGAATTGATTTTTCTGTAGCTAACAACTGGAGAGGACAATGTGGACCTAAGCTGCGGAAGCTAGCCCCTATAGTAGTACTTACATAGTGATAAACCCTCTACCAATAATCATTGAGAGCAATCAACTTCTTCACCGCGATTTGCGGATTTCTTTGTTTAAAGAAAATCAATCATGTACATAAACTTGTTAACAACCGCTAAATAGATATACATTCAGTTAATTATCATCAACAATATCAAATAAGCGCATGCATTGCGCCCAATCAAAAAAAACCAGAATGCTCTTTCCTCAAACCGTACGTGACTAAAAAATAGCATAACGAAAAGATCTTCTCTTCCTCTTCATCTCCCTTTAGAAAATCAAAACATCTACAAGTGGGTTTCATTTTATTTTACTTTCAATAAAAAGCCTTTTCTCATTTTACCATTTTAACAATAAATTGATCTGTATATATGAAACGAATCTCGCGTATGGAAATAGTATTCAACACATGATAAGCCAAACTAAGGCAAGAAAAGAGCCTCCAAACAAAAGCCTAATAACCAAAATCTTGTTTTTATGAGTTAAGCTGTTTGTTCAATTTACCCAACATCAGGTATTTTTTACTAATCACGGTAAGGTAAGGTTAGCTAAGTTAATTACGTGAACAACGTTGGCATATAGTTTTATAAAAAAAAAGGGATCTGCAAAACTATCTCAAACCTGAACTTAGGATTTAGGCTCCATAGTTCTAAGGTCAAAATCCCGGAAACTTCGCGGGACCGAAGTACAACATATCTCGATCATCGTTGGGGAAAAACCGTTTCAACGAATATTTTTTCAATTGGATAGGAGATCTGTAAAAAGTTAAAGTGCCACAAGTTGACACCTCTAACCTAAGACGTCTCCATATACTAAAAATGCTAATAAATATGTCAAAATGAACAGTTTCGAGGAAGATTACCTATCAATATAATTATATGCAATCGCAAGGGTTTATATGCTTAGCCTTTCCACAATGTGTGCTTCAGAGTCGTCAGGGTTGTATCGGATTGATGCAACAATAGTTTATGCGATCCATTCTCTTGATTTCCTTCTTTTCAATAAAAGATGAAACAAGTATAGAAGAAGTGAAAAAAATATTCGCTTAATTCTTGTTTCGACGCAAAGCCTTCTATCGTCTTATGCGGAATTTTTTCATCTCTAATTTATGTGGCAAGAATTTGAAAAGTTGCTTTAAATCTCCACTATTTCATATAATTTTCTAAAAGGGAAGGTTCGAATCGCTACGATATGACTTTATAATTTCACACTTTGCACGGTTGGAATTTAAAGAAAAAAAAAAAAAAGAACAATAAAATTTAAATAAAAATTTAAATAAATAAATACATGGAATGATATTCAGTGAAAGGAAATTGCAATGAATATGCATTTGCTTATATAAAAGATGCATAAAAACGTTACTACTTACAGTCACCTCTGCTCTCTTCAATATCCAATATAATGTTTGTTTGACCGGTTTCTACTTCACACATTTGCGATTTACCCAAAACACCGACAGCATTATGACAGCATAACATCACTATTAATAAAATGTAAACAACTGTGAGGTACGTTAAGTAATGGCAGGTAATTGACAAGGAAGCCATATTTTGATTATAGCTAGAAACTGCAAGTAAAACAAAAAAGAAGAAAAACAAATAAAGAATAATAAAATTTAAAATAAAAAAAAAAAAAAAAATTTTTTTTTTTTAAAAATAAAAATGAAATAACTACAAAGAAGACGACGAATGGACCCTTTGCTTGGATCAACTTTTAAAGCTTGTACTAATTTAGTTGAATACCACCGAATCACGATCTAAAGAGGTCGACGCACTGTTCACGTTCCTCTACCCGATGTTTCTTAATTCAAATTCAAACCGGTAGCTAGTTTACTTATATTAAAATTCAAATTGAGAGGAGATGTATGCACTTTTGATATTCTTCTACATTGAATGTCTTATATAGCTTATTCAAATTCGCACTCCTCGCTTGCAATATGTCGCTTTCTGCTGTATACGATATATAACCCATTACTGCAAGCTGTTCAGTTCAGTTATGCTCGATTCAACAGTAAGTTTGCTTGTATTCTTGTTCCTTTATCTACTCGTAAATTTGCAATTAGTTTAGTCAATGTTTTCATTTCATTTATTCAATAAATTCAAGTACAGATGAATCTTCAACTAAATACAAATACAGATACTACTTAAATGCCAGTATACCTGGATTTTTAACTTAATCAGATTACATGCAAATAATAATTGGCTAAGGCAATATGGACCAACCAAAAATACAAGTGATCGCGGTCAAACCACCTCCACAAGTCATTTGGGATGGGATTGGCATTCCAAGTTATAGATTACTTATGAATATAGGGATTTTTTTATTCTACTTTACAAATCGCTAGACTGGCTCCAATGTGCAAATAGGAAGTTTGGCACGTTCGTTATGACGAAATGCTTCTGCAAAGTCCGAGAAAATTCAACAGTTAGTCACGCAATATTATCCGTTTAGTCTAGTTCACGGTCAAAAGAAAGAAATCAAATAAAAGTGATATTAACTTAACTTGTGTGTAATAACGTAATCTATGTAAGAGTTTAGTGTTTTTCTAAATTTTTGATCAACTCAGCAGCATTACGGCTTATCCTTATCTATTCAAATTGCCAATCCAACAATCCCCTTTAAACCCGTTGAAAGATCTATTCAAATTTTTCGGATGAAATTTTTGGTAAAAGAAAGAATGAAGAAAAACCTAAAATTCATTTTGAATTGAGTTCAATAAAATTGTTTTAGAAAACTAAACTAAATTGTTTTGACTATAGAAACTTGATTTGCTTTTTTTTATGTCTTTTTTTGTTTATTTGTTTTATGAAAATTACTTATTACCATAAAAGTCTATGTACATGTTCACATATATATATATATATATATAATACCTATAAATATATATATGTACATATATATACCATCATATATATGTAGATGACTGTGTGAGAGCATTTCACCAACGGTTATCGTTTAGCATTGTTTGCAAAATTTCATTCTGAAAGCACAGCAACAGTCTCATGATGTGAGCATTTACCATAAAAGGCCAGAAATACGGTAAACAAAACATTTTGACAATGAATATTTACCACATAAGCATTAACGTGTGGTGTATTGCAAAAGCAAGAGGGG